CTTGTTGAGTTACTGACACAGTGAGCATGAGCTGGACTGCAGGGTGATGGGCTGTGCTGGAGCTGCAGCAGGAGTGTGTGGAGAGGGGAACAGCAGAGTAACAGCCTGATGGAGACTCCGGTGTGACCTCCGTCCTGCAGGAATCTGGAGGAGGAGCAGCGGGAGGGGGAGGGGCTGAGGAATGTGCCAGTGATGTCACAGACATGGGGAGGGGCCATGACATCATCCTCCACTCACAGGCCTCTATCACAAGAGGACCCATGGAAAACACACACACACACACACACACACACACACACACACACACACACAGAGAGAGAGCGATGAGTTCATCCTGTTGGTTGTGCAATAGTCATCATTTTACAAGCGTTACATGCTGATCAATCTGACACGCTGTACAAGACTACAGCTCAAGTGAAGAAGTCATCTGTAGAAGCGCCCGCTTCCCTCACGAAGGCTGTGATCTAATATGAGCTGGCCAGGGGAATGTGTGTGTGTGTGTGTGTGTGTGTGTGTGTGTGTGTGTGTGTGTGTGTCTGTCTGTCTCCAGCATCTCTGATAATCAACATGAGTTTACTGTGTTTGTTCTAATCAGACTTGATGAATGCAGAAGCTCTGTGATTGTGATTGACATTCTCCCGCTGTACGTGTCATCAGAGGGGGAAAGCCCCGCCCACTAGCGCACATCTCTGACTGTAATCTGACTCTGACTGTTCCTGAAGTCTGTAGTGGACATGATGTAGGAGCCTCAAACACCACTAAATCAGCACTACAGCAGTGTCAGTATCTGCCGTTGGAGTGTGTGAGCCTTCTGTGGTTAAAATGACAAAAAAAACAAACGCATACATGATCGATTAGACTCTTACACCATGCAGCTTTTAGCTTAGCTTGCTACATTTCTCAGGGGTAGTTTTTAGTGTAGTTAAGCTACATTATAAGTAGAGTAGCTAATAGCTTAGCTCACTTCATTCTTCAAGTAGCTAGCCCAACACTGGCCATATCATCACCACCCGGTCTCCTGTCCACCAATCAGCTGCTGTGTGGTCTGGCGCAATATGGCTGCCGCTGTGTCATGCTGCACACACTGGTGCAAGATGAGGAGATTCCCCCAATGTGTATTCTGGAAATTCCCGTAATGTGCGCTCTGAGTCTCCAGAAAAGAGCTGTATAAATGGAAGGAATTTTTACTATTATTATTATTATTATTATAATTATTTTTATTATTATTATTAACAGCTCTGTGTTTTGCTTTGGAGAGCAGAGCTGAAGACTCAATTAAACAGACACGATTACAATTAATGAAGCCTTAGTGAAAACACCAACGACAACAACACTTACACACCTCAGAGTTTATTACAGGACTGCACCCTCAAAACACACACACACACACACACACACACACACACACACACACACACGATTAAATGTAAAGAGTCTGTAGAGAAGGCGGTGAGGGACAACGCTCCTTCCAGGTGCATTGTGGGTAGATCAGTGTGTGTATGGCAGTGCGCGCTGTCGCAGGACGTCCCACAGCAGCATGCTGAGAGTGGTGTGTGGAGCCAGACGCACAAACACCGGCGTCATGCCCTTATAAAGACCCAGAACACCTTCAGCCGCACACACCTTCAGCAGACAGTCCACGAACCCGCAGTAGAGGCGGCCCTGAGGAGCACACACACACACATGAGGAGAGCTCACAGTGCATTATAACAGCTCATAGTGTGCATTATAACAGCTCATAGTGCGCATTATAACAGCTCATAGTGTGCATTATAACAGCTCATAGTGTACATGTGCATTATAACAGCTCATAGTGTGCATTATAACAGCTCATAGTGCGCATTATAACAGCTCATAGTGCGCATTATAACAGCTCACAGTGCGCATTATAACAGCTCATAGTGTGCATTATAACAGCTCATAGTGTGCATTATAACAGCTCACAGTGCATTATAACAGCTCATAGTGCGCATTATGACAGTTCATAGTGCGCATTATGACAGTTCATAGTGCGCATTATAACAGCTCATAGTGTGCATTATAACAGCTCATAGTGTGCATTATAACAGCTCATAGTGTGCATTATAACAGCTCATAGTGTACATTATAACAGCTCATAGTGCACATTATAACAGCTCATAGTGTGCATTATAACAGCTCATAGTGCGCATTATAACAGCTCATAGTGTGCATTATAACAGCTCATAGTGTGCATTATAACAGCTCATAGTGCGCATTATAACAGCTCATAGTGTGCATTATAACAGCTCATAGTGCGCATTATAACAGCTCATAGTGTGCATTATAACAGCTCATAGTGCATTATAACAGCTCATAGTGTGCATTAAAACAGCTCATAGTGTGCATTATAACAGCTCATAGTGCGCATTATAACAGCTCATAGTGTGCATTATAACAGCTCATAGTGCGCATTTTAACAGCTCATAGTGCGCATTATAACAGCTCACAGTGCATTATAACAGCTCTTTAGTGCGCATTATAACAGCTCATAGTGCGCATAATAACAGCTCATAGTGCGCATTATAACAGCTCATAGTGTACATTATAACAGCTCATAGTGTGCATTATAACAGCTCATAGTGCGCATTTTAACAGCTCATAGTGTGCATTATAACAGCTCATAGTGCGC